TAAATACAAACACTCACCTTATAATTTTTTCAAAGAAACAAGGTGTTGCAGAGATAATAACAAATTCAAATATTTTTCCAGAGAAGTCTATTTGACCAGGTAATCCAAAACATTGCTAGATGACTTCCTATTGTTTGGCAGTAAGCTATTGTTACCAATCAATCTAAAGAAAAACTTTCAAATTCTCATTTTTAATCAATATATATGAAATGTTCCTTCACTGGGTTGTGTTCCTTCACTGGTTGGTTTATCCTAGTTAAAACGTAGCCACCAGCACTGATCTGAATTTTTGTTATGCTTAAAAAAATAGCTTAAAACATTGTTCACTATATTAAAAAAAAAAAAAAAACACTTTCGTATTCCACATTTTTGCAAATAGCTTGTCCAGAAAATCTTTTATTAATTTTAATAAAATATTTAAAAGTAAGTTGTTTATTGAATTTACTAAATTTATATTCAAAAAAACAATAACTTTATAGAAATAAATCAAATAGAAATCAGAACAGTTCCTGGAGCATGTATTTCTGAGAACGATATCAACATTTCAATTCTAATAAAATATCAACTTAAATTATTAATTAGAATTTCTGAAAAAATATGAAACAAAAAACAATTAAACGCTTTTAAAAGAAATAATTAAAATAAAAATTATATTCTTTCTGCCAGATTACGCAAATTAATTAAGAAATCGGGACTCACTGATCTGTAATAAAATTGTTGAACTTTATGAATAATGAACTTCACTGAAATGTATTACTGAACCTTAATGAAATATTTTCTAATGAAAATTTAGTAATCGTTTCTACAAATTTAACATTACTTGGAAAACTAAGATTACTTGACTTAAAACGTGCGATTACATTAGTACTGAAGGAAAATTTAATTTTGTTTTTAATATTTCGATTTCAATCAATTTTTTTAAATTTATAATTATTAATTAATTTATAAATTTATTATTGCTATTAATTTAATTAATATAGTATTGCTATTAATTTAATTAATTTATTAATTAATTTTACTTTCTGATCGATTTTAACCCAGCACCTAAGCAAAACCTTCTTCAGCGAATGCTACTTTAAATGAAACTATCATTGAAATAACATCCTAATCCCCAAAATCAAAAATTACCAAGCTCAAAATATGTATGGAAGTTATTAAAATCCTATTTCGAAATGATGGTGCACAATGCAAATAAAATATACTTTGGAGTAAAATAAAATGTCTCTAAAAAAGCAGCAGCCGGAATAATGAAAGAAACATAATAAAAGATTCAAAATGCAAGTCACGAAAAATAAAATGACTCAAAAGTTCAATTACTTCGGAAAAGTAAATTACTTTTTGAACCTATGCCAATACGTAATTAGGGGAGAAAGCATGTCCCAAACAAGAATGCACGTGCCCTATATCTTATTTTCATCCCCCCTTTTGCCAATAATATTCGATTCCTGCGGCTTCTGACTTTTGTTGTTTGACGTCTGATCGGATAACTCCAGGGAGGGTATGAATTTTTACAACCCCTTTTCTAACTCGTTCCTTTGACATCCCCAAGAAAGGATATTACATAATCAATAGTAATCATATGCTTCAATATCTTTCACGTACTGATACCAGCTATTTCTTAAAGAAGGCAGAGAATGTGTGGGTGTCCATGATGGTAACAACCAAGGCATCTGAAGCAGATGTCGGATTCTTTCTCTGAGTACTTCTTTTAGTATTGGTAAATCGATGTCTTCCGTACATTTTTGGAGTGACGTCGTTGCCGGTGAATCTTAGCATCAATCGTTGAAGATGGTTGTTTCGTTACAATCGCGCAATTGGTCTCGCTATTGGCTTCAATTGAATTGCAGATTTCGACTCTGTTTTTTTATTTATTGTTGTTTACATTGGTCATAGAAAGGAAATCTGCATTACGACTCCCTCCATTGATGAAATAATAAAATTGATGATTTCACTCAATACTTAAAGAATTGGTATTTTGCCAGCAATATTGACAAATAACGTGTTCTTCGAAAATGCATGTATAATTCAGTTTTTGTTGCATTATTTATATTTCTTAAAAATTTAAAAAGATAATTAACAGAAAGTTATTGTGAGTTGTCTTGTTTAATTTTAACAACACAACTATGCTAATATTTGAAGTGATTATAAAACATTTGGATATTTTCTATAACATTCAAACTATTTCTCAAAAAGTAGAAAATATGCTTGATTCTCTTAAAAGTTGGCTACTAAATATAACAAGAACAATGGCTATTAAAAATAGCAGAAACAATGGCTACTAAAATGCCTTTCTCATTCGGTTAGAGTTGACGAAATTATGCCTTTCGTGCACTATTTGATTGACTGAGCCCGTTTATTGCTAAATTTTGTTGCGCTGCTGACTTACAATCGCCCACTTTGTTTTCTTATTGTATTTAACTGAATTGAAACCTGAATTCAATTGTACTATTCTTCCTTTGGGTGAGGAAAAAAATCAAGTTATTATTTTGGAATTGAGAAATGATACAATTTTTTATTATCAACTCCATCATCAATTTTCAAAGTAAAATATATTCATCAAAAATATATACAAATTACAAATGTACGTTTTTAGCATCTTTAAGAATTTATATAATGGACCGTGTAAGCCTAGAGCCATCGCTCGCTTTAAATCATGTGAAAATAGTTTACCTGTTTAAACGGATGCTACCAAACAGGAAAAATATCATCAGTTTACAAGCAAAAATTAAATAAATATGAAACCTTATAAATTTTGACACCAGTCATGAGAAAAGAAGACAAGATTGTAATGAATCTACCCCTTATTATAATGCACCCTTTCAATAGTTGTGAAAGGTATTAAATGCTTAAATATTTTAGATTTGTTTTCGTGTAAAATCATCTATTCTAGCTGAATTTGGAATAATTTTAAGATTTATCTGTAAGTGTTTAAACATTTAAAACGCGTAATGCAAAACAAATATATTTTTCTTTCTATTCTGCATCTTGCATAATTTAAGTTAACAATGCTAAATCTCTTTGTCTTTCGAGTTTTTAAAGAAGTGCAACATATTACACGGTTTAATCTCCTGTTGTTTTTTTCCCTCCAGGATTTAGATTGAGTAACATTTATTTAAATGGATTTCTTCTCTACTTCGTTAAATATGCAAAACAAACTAGATAGGCGGGATAAACTCTAATGGGGAAGATTCCTACTGGTAGACAATGTACAATTCTCTTTTTTTTTGTTTAACTCTTTCTCTAATTTAGCTAAAATCAGCTTTACGTGTTTCTAAATTTTTTCTTGAATATTTAATTTCCTTTTAAGATAATAACTTTGCTACTCACTATAATGTACCGTTTAGTTTAGTTTAAATTTTATTTAAATAAGCTATTTACATATATATATATATNTATATATATATATATATATTCTGCTATTCATTGAAAGAGTTCTGACTGTGATGTTCTGTGTTGTGTAGGTATTTAATAGATATTTTACCTTTAAAACACCCCCTACATTGAAACTTGGAAACTTAACAGTTTTAACATTTGCATTAACTTTA